AAAAAAAAAAAAAATCAACAATGTAAGTAAAGCATGTCCTGTTTTTGTATAGTTACAGTAAAAACAACATGAGAAAAAAAAATAATGAATATGTACAGCAATAGAAGTTTATTGTTTTTTTTTTTCTGAGATTTGTTATACAGATATGTCTACTTCCTTGACATTTGTTCACTACAACGGAAAGTGGGAAAGTGAAGAAAAATACACTGGTTACAAGGTCTGTGGGATAGTTTTGCAAGAAGATTGCACATACCAACAACTTGTTGATATGATAATGCAAACATTGAATATCAACTTTGCTGATAGATCCTTGTGCATAAAATACCAAGTGAAGGATGGATATCCACCACTTACCATATCGGACAACAATAGTTTGTGTTTTTACAAGGAACTGAAGAAAAAGGACACTGACTACACCAGGTTTCCACTTTGTACGACTATGGAAGAAAACCTCAACACACTCAGTCTGCCACCAATTAACACAGATGAAACAGTGATTCAATGTTCAAACATCAGTGTTCCCCTACCCCTGCAAATAATGGAAGAAAGCTTTGAACTTTCCCAAAAGAAATGTGTTGACCTTGTTAAATATGCTGAAAGTTCCTCATGGGCATTAGTGAGTGACATAGAAAAAAGCATGGAGAACCTCATGGATCAGAAGTTGTCACAGCGACATCATCAGCGATATGATACTCAACAACAAAAAACTTGCACTGGTGATATCTACTCCGACAAGAATGAGCTCAAACATTTTTTCAGCCTATATGCCATAAAAAATCATTTTCAGTTTGTTGTTGTGAAATCATGTCCAAAGCAATACTTCATCAGATGTGTCGACAACACATGTCCATGGTTCTTAAAGGCTTCAAGCATTGGCGACGCCCCCACCTTCAAAATACGACAGGTAAATGTCATTCATAAATGCAGTTATGCAAAGAGAATGAATGACAAAAGGCAAGCGACATCGGAGGTAGTGGGTTCATGCATTCAAGACAAATTTGTGAACATAAAAACACAGTACACAACCGCAGACATCATACGGGACATGCATAAAGACTACGGTGTTGATCTATCGTACAAGAGAGCTTGGCGTGCACGGCGAAAGACTTTGGAGCAAGTTCAGGGGAATCCATACACCTCCTACCAGCAACTACCAATGTATCTTAATAAATTGGCAAACTCCAACCTGGGATCCAATATCAAACTGAAGACAAACAACAACACATTTGAATATCTCTTCAATATCGTTAAAAGCATCCATCAAAGGTTGGGAACATTGTCGACCAATCATCATAGTTGATGGAACATTCCTAAAGGCAGCTTACGGTGGGACACTTATCACTGCAAGTACACAAGATGCGGCATCCCATATACTTCCTCTTGCCTTTGGTGTTGTGGACTCAGAAAACAACAATGCATATGAGTGGTTTTTTGAGAACTTGAAAGCATCTCTTTTACCAAAGGAAGGCTTATGTACTGTATCCGATCGCCATAATAGCATCAAATATGCCGTAAGAAAGGTAAGTTTACACAAGTTTTACAGTTTATAATTATAATTTCATGTACTCCACATTTAACAGAGAAGATAAATTTCAAAATTGTGTTTTTAAAAAAAAATAAAATACTGCAAATTACAAAAATATGAGTAACAACTTAAAAAAAACTGTTTTATATTATGTTTTTAAAAGCACATTATAAATATAGTTGTATTAACCTTAAACTTTGCACTCCATTTAGGTATTTCTTGAAGCTGCTCATTGCAACTGCATCTATCACTTATCCAAAAATATCGCAAAAAAATACAAGAAAAACATTGAAGCTGTAAAGGTGGCTTTTATGGCAGCAGCTCACGCCTATACACCTTTTGATTTCAATCGCCACATGACAACAATCCAAAAGGCAAACCCCAGTGTTGTCACATATTTAGAGAGCGAAGTCGGACTTGAAAGGTGGTCTCGTCTACATTGCAAGGCAAACCGTTTTTTGACAATGACCTCAAATGCCGCTGAGACCATCAACTCAAACATGAAGGTGGCACGTGAACTCCCAATTACACTCCTACTCGAGTGCTTAAGGGGAATGCAACAAGAATGGAATGTTAAAAACAAAGCGGAGGCTGAAAATACATTTACAACCCTTGCAAAGCTGGGAAACAAAATGCTTGAGGAAAACTACAAGACATCAATGATTTTCATGGTATGTTGTAAAAAAAAAAGTTGTAAATTTTTAATTATGAAAAACTAATACTAACAATGGTTAAATGGAAAAAAAAAATGCAGGTCCAAAAAGCTGCAGGACACATATTCAAGGTTTCAAATGGCCCACATATTTTCATCGTGGACATTGAGAAAAAAACGTGCACAGGTAACAGATTTCAGATGGATGAGCTCCCGTGTGCTCATGCTGTAAGCGTTTTAAGAGTGATTCAAGATGATCCTGAAAAGTATTGTTCAAGGTTCTACCTAACTGACCGCGCGTCGCAACGCGGCAAAATTAATATTTATAAATTCCTTATTCGACTTCTACCAACTAGTAGTAGCAGTGAGTACGGGTCGAACCCACAGGGAGTGTGAATCAAATTGTGAATTTTCTCGTATTAATTGAATTTATAAAAGCGGTAAATGGGGGGATTGGGTTTTGATAATTAAACTAACTAAAAATACTAAAAATATAAAGAAAAGAAATAAAAATAAATATAAAATAAATAAGAGAAATTTCTAGTTCACGGTTCCGTCTACACCCTCGACTGACTCGTCTAATCAACTTTGGTATCAAATCTCGTTATCTTATGAAATTACTAGCCCTAGGCAACGACACGGTCTGTTACCCGAATTTTTCCTTATTTTTAATCTAACCGCGAGACGCTCTACGATTAGACCTGACTTCTTGTACAGTCTAGAAAACGCTTCTTAGATTTAATACAATCAGCCGCTTTACGAATTAGAAAAATAGGCTAGACTAAGTGGTGACGCGTTCGTTCACTTAAATAGGCTGTGTTATCCCCGGTAGTTACCATCTTCCGGATACCACTTACGAATTAAACACATCAACAATTACGGATTGAAGGCCTAATTCAGGTGTAGATATGTAAAGCCTAATCTAGGTGATCAATCTAAATAAGACTCAACACATCATGGTTAATTATTCAAAATGACACAAACAATTCCAAAGAGATATTAAAATCATCAATCATAATTAATCAAAACATAGACAATCTTAGGGTTCGACTTCCCCGGAACTAGAATAAAATCTACTCTAACATAATAAATAAAAAGGAAAAGAGAAGAATAAAGTTATCCTTCTCGTGTGCGGTTGCGGCCTCCCTCCGCGTTTAATCGGCTTCCTCGTGTTTGGTTTCTGTCCGCGACTCTCTACTACGACTTGTTCCCGTCCTCTGTTTTTCTATTCTCCGTGAATATCTCACAATCTCCCCGTATATCTTTTTTTCAGTTCATTCTCCTTAGCCAATTTAACACTCTTGCCAAGTAATTTCATCTTTGCCAAATTCTCTATATTCATGGGGCCCACAAAAATATCATTCCAAATTAATTACCCCAATATCATCCTTCCATTCGCAGGTTATAACATTCATTCTTTAATCAAAGTGGGCTTCATTCCCATTTGGCCCACATCAATTGCAGGCATTCTGTACGTTGATTAGTATGGATTGGATGCCCGCTAATTGATCGGGTGAACTTCCGTCTAATGTTTAAAATCCTGAAATTAAATCATAAAAATATCATAGCACATGAATCCATCTAAGAAATAAATAAGTCAAAAAATATATAAGTGCGATAAAATTAAACATATAAAAATACGCTAATAAATATATAAAACACACACTTTTTCCGACCAATCACTAACATCCAATATGTTGCATACCTATAGTGATCCTGTTTTTCCGGTTAATTATGATATTTCCGAAGCATTGCCTCTTATTCCAGATGAAACAAAAGTAGTTCCTCCAGTCCATTGTTCTGTTTCTGGAAGGAGAAAGAAAAAAAGGTACACGTCTGCTTGGGAGATCTCCGTGGACCATTCAAGAGGAAAACGTGGTAGAAAAAGCATTGAATAGAGTTTGGAGTATATTGTGATCATTAATATTTTATGTTAAACTGTAGTTATGTAGGATTTGTTTTTTGTTATGAAG